TAATCATAATTATTTATTTGGTGATATTTATTATGTGCTGTTAGAGGGTGTTGGATAGCTAGAATGATTTTGATTGCTGTTTTTACACACACTGTCCATTTTTCCATTTTATATTGAAGATAACGTCAAATATTTATAAAAAACCTAGTTGTATACCAGGCACATGGTGATACAAACATTGTTGATCATGTACTTTGTTTTATTTGTATTAAAGAATTATTTTTGAATAATGTTTTGATTATTATCTTAACCAGTGTATTTTGTAACTTCAATGATATTTTAAATGTTTTTTTCATTTTACCCTTGTTATTGTCAAAGCAGAATAAGATGTTAAAATTTAAGATATTTTAAGAATTAAACTAGGAAACATCTTTAAGATTACTAAAATTTAGAAAAACTTTGATAGGTTTTTAAGATTCTAGTATTTCTACCTGCTCTCTTAAAGTAAAAACCATTCAGATTCAGAAAATATATGAGTTGAAAATACGTTGTTAAACCATCAAAATAAATAATATTGCTTATTTTTGGAATGATTAAACTTTAAGAGAGCAAGTATGATTTTAAGATTTGTTATGTTTAGTTAAAGCTGGAACTTGGTGTAATATACAGGTCCTTCATTCAAAACAAGAAATTACATCATATTTTCAAAAAATCTTCCCAGAAATATTTTGTGATCTCTTAATACTAAAATTCATATATTAAAAAATAAAGTTAAACATATTGCGTTATGTTATGGAAAACTGGCAAAATAACTCTTGTTTTGAATGAAAATCTCGTCAACTCCAAAATTCCAGTTTAAGACTTCAACATTTGTATCATTTTCTCATCTCTTCTTTACTATTTCTTGTAGGTTGAGTGTAAGAGAGCTCAAAAGAATCAGCAACCTGGACCTTCTCAAGGACATGGACCAGGTCATGGCCCACACGGACCACCACCTTTAATGCATGGTCCTGGTGGAAGAGGCGGTCGTATGGGAGGGAGAGGTGGTCATCATGGACCCCCTGGACATCATAGAGGTCCACCTCATGGTCATCACGGAGGCCCACCCCCAGGGCATCATGGTGGACCACCCCATGGACATCATGGAGGACCTCCCCCAGGTCATGGAGGTCCACCTGGACATGGAGGCCCACCTCACGGCCATGGTGGACCACCTAATCATGGAGGCCCTCCTCCAGGACATGGTGGTCCACCCCCAGGACATGGAGGACCTCCCCCAGGACATGGCGGCCCTCCCCCTGGACATGGTGGTCCTCCCCCTGGACATGATGGTCCCCCAGGTCACTACCAGCCCCATGCACCAGCTGGTTGGGAAAGTCAGAGTTCACAAGGATGGAATGGGGGTCCACCTTCTCAGGGTAATGGATTTCAAGCTGCACCCCAGCAAGCTCCACCAGCATCATACACCCAACCTGCTTATGGACAGCCAGGATATGGGCAACCCCCACCGGCAGGATATGAACAGCCACCACCTGCTCAAGGTAATTATTTTTATGAAAGATACAAGACATATTCTTCTCATACTTTAAAAAAAATGTCATCAGATTTAAATAATTTGACACAATCCTGTCATACCCTTTTATTTCATCCAGTTTTTACTGGATTTATTGACTTCTATGTTAGTCCACAAGATCTTGCCTTCAGTAACCTACAAATAGTGGACAAAACAGTAAAAAATCTGAAGAGGGCCAAACTGAAGCTTGCTGATTTTACCCATAAGGAGATTTCAATGAATATTAGTTTGTTTATAGGAAGGTACAGACAATCAGTCTAGAGGTTGTTATCCACCCATAAGGAGATTTCAATAAAGTTATGTGTTATTTTGATTATAGCAGGTTATGGAACACCACCACAAGCTGGTTATCAATCAGCTCCAGTAGCTGCACCAGTAACAGGTGCCCCTCCAGCCTATAATCAGTGGGGTCAGCCTACAGCCCAGCAAGCTGTATCACCAGGCTATGCTGGATATGGACAACCCCCTGCCACAGCTGCTGCAGGATACGGTGCCCAGCCTGCCACCCCCACAGCTGTTCCACCACCCACATCGTATGCACCTTATGGTAAGTCCCTACTAAGTTAAAAATGATTAAAGCTGTCAAAGTCTGTGGTAGACAATCATTAAGTGAGGCAAATTTTTTTTTTATGATTTTAATTTATATTTGTCTCCATTAAAACCTAACAAGTTTTGTACTAGAGTGTTGTTCTGTGTCTTGATAACAATGACAAAAGGAGAGATTCCAAAACCCTAAACCCAGGCTGTCCCTCATTGTACACTGCATGACTATCCTTATTAGGTCCAACAGGTGCAGAAAAATAGGACGTAAAACACCAATTCATTTCCCCATTATGTACAGAACAAAGCTAAGCAACATTATCCAATGGAATTTTTGAAATAGTTATATAATAATCCTATAATGATAATCTACATATCATTGTGTTTCAGGTCAGCCCCCAGCTGCTACCCCTGCCCCAACTTACAGTGGTTATCCACCACCAGCAACTGATCCTTACGCTCAAGGTAATGTATTATTTTAAGATATAGACCCTTTAAATGTAACATAATGTGAAAGTGCTAAAGAACTACATTGCATTGATGTTACTAGATTGACGAGTCGTATCGAGTGCTATTGTCACAAGGTTACGTTCAGTTTGGAGAAATAGATAATTTTCAAATCAACATAAAATGCATTGGCTTGATTTAGAACATTTTAGCCCATAATGTTAGGGAAACCTTAAAAACCATGTTAACAATAAGAAGGACGCTGATCACTGATTGGTTGAGATGATTATCCAATCAGATTGCTTAAACTGAACTATGAACAGAATTTATAATAATTTATAATAATTTATAAGTAGAATATTAAAACAGAACCTGAAACATGTTACTTAAAAATTATAAGTTGTTTTAATTTACACAAGTGAAAATGTAAATTGTTGTATGTTTACAGGTTATGGAACGATACCAGCAGTGGCACCAGCTGTTCCTGCAACAGATCCTAATGCTGTGGCTTATAGTTACGGTCAGTAATTCTTCACAATGTTGGTCTACTTCATGTTTGTTTTCATACAGAATATCTTTCAGGACTGTATTGTTTTCCCAATATGTATTGCAGGTTTTCTTATTTGGCTTCATTCAGATGTAGGGTAACAAGGAAAATGAAACAAATATTGGGTCTCTGTGTTCCTAAGGGAAGAAAAAATGTCCAAAAATATGAGCCCTATAAATATATATGTCTCTGATCCAATGTTTATGATATTTATCGATAGAAGATTATCATCGTGTTAATAATGACTATATTTGTAGAGTTAGGACAGTATCCTCAAGATACCAGTAGTTATGGACCTAATAGAAGTACGGCTGCTACAGCAGGTTATAGTCAACAAGTTTACTCTCCTCCTACACAAGGTATTTCTAATATCACTCTTAAAAAGATTGTAAAGAGGATTTCTGATATTTCACGGTAGCATTAGCCTGCTCTTTTTCGATTTCCAACTCTCAAGGGATCTTAAACATGCACAGCCTGTAGCACACTGGGCCTCGGTTTATTGTTCCATTCGAAAGACCAGATGCTTTTTCCATGTCAGCCCCTCATACCTGCATCACTGATAGGGGAAACTGGGTTGAAAAATCTGAAGGTATCAACTTATCCTATGTCAGGATTTCACCAGTAGGCGAACAAGTGTTTAACTCACTGAGCCACCGTGGCTCCCTCATGATTGTAGGCAATTTCCATTTAAATTTAAAAACATGAATCTTTTTATAACTCATTGTGTATATTTTCTTACAGCAGCTTATGCTGATCCTGCTGGGTACGGAGCAGCAGGTGCCCCTCCTGCACAGCCTGCTTATGGGGGACAGGAAGGAGCCCCTGGGTATGGTGGATACAGTCAGAGATCACCCCCAGCAGCAAGTAGTGCCCAGTCCTATCATCCATATAGACGTTAAATATCTGTTCACCCCTGATGTTTTAATGTGTATTTATTTTAATGGGTAAGGACGACCAATTTACTGGTTTTAATGGAAGTATTAACCTTACTTGTAGCAAAACTTTAAATGTGCTGTAAGATTCGATCTATATTGAGAGTATATTTAATCTGAAGACAACTGTGTATATTAATGATTTCATGTTCAGAATTTCAATTGAACCTTACCATTCCACCTATTTGGTCAAAATATGTTGAAGGTATGATCACAATATGTCCAGTAATGATTTCATCTGTGTACATCAATGATATGTTTTAAAATTGGAAGGATTTCATTTGATTTACTGTTCTATTTGTTGGGAATAGCTTTTTGTGCTTATCAATTGACCTGAATTGAAGAATATATATTAAAAAAAGCAATGACTTCATCTGTGTACAATCAATGAATGAATGATGAGATACAAATTGAACAGTATTTGATGTAAATTGGACATTGATTAGAATTAAATTGTTAAAAATTGAAGTATTTAACATTTAAAGTGATTATTGTGGGAAAGATTTGATGTTTAGTGGAAAGAAATACATTCAGCATTGTATAATATCATCCAATAGAATTCAAAGAATATCATTTTCTTTACAATTCATCATGATTTCTGGATCATATAAAAAGGAATTTGAAATCCAAGCTAACTTTGGAGAACTTTTGGTGATGCATTGGGTGCAACTATTATCATTAAAACTAAACTGAGCTATACTTATAATTCCTTTATACAGTCTATAGAAGGTATATATTTACTTGTAGACCAGGCCAGGTATTCTCAAAACGATCTTAGTGCTAGGATATCCTAGAAACAGTATTAGAAGTTTACACCCTAAGACATCCTAGCGCTATGATCGTTTCGAGAATACAGGGCCAGGACTCTAATGTAATTGCTATATTAAATCGAAGGATTCCAAACTTGTTCACCAGACTGGTATGCTGTATTTTATTTCATTGTTTATCACCATGATAATTCATTGTAATCACTCATAGTACATTCAAAATAAAATGTATCTAAAAAATTACACTAGCAGAGTTCTGATTTCTTTCGAAACCTGACAATCCAGCTTTGCCAAGTTTGTGACATTTTTGGTGACTTGAGAAGCTATCGTCCTACATATTTAGTGACTTGAGAAGCTGACTACCTACGTGTTTGGTGACTTGACAAGCTATCGTCCTGCATGTTTGGTGACTTGAGAAGCTGTCTACCTACATGTTTGGTGACTTGACAAGCTATCGTCCTGCATGTTTGGTGACTTGAGAAGCTTTCTACTGACATGTTTGGTGACTTGAGAAGCTATCGTCCTACATGTTTGGTGACTTGAGAAGCTGTCGTCCTACATGTTTGGTGACTTGAGAAGCTATCGTCCTACATGTTTGATGACTAGACAAGCTATCGTCCTACATGTTTGGTGACTTGAGAAGCTGTCTACCTACATGTTTGGTGACATGAGAAGCTATCGTCCTACATGTTTGGTGACATGAGAAGCTATCGTCCTGCATGTTTGGTGACATGAGAAGCTGTCGTCCTACATGTTTGGTGACTTGAGAAGCTGTCGTCCTACATGTTTGGTGACTTGAGAAGCTGTCGTCCTACATGTTTGGTGACTTGAGAAGCTGACTACCTACGTGTTTGGTGACTTGACAAGCTATCGTCCTGCATGTTTGGTGACTTGAGAAGCTTTCTACGGACATGTTTGGTGACTTGAGAAGCTGTCTACCTACATGTTTGATGACTAGACAAGCTATCGTCCTGCATGTTTGGTGACATGAGAAGCTGTCTACCTACTTGTTTGGTGACATGAGAAGCTGTCTACCTACATGTTTGGTGACATGAGAAGCTGTCGTCCTGCATGTTTGGTGACATGAGAAGCTGTCGTCCTGCATGTTTGGTGACATGAGAAGCTGTTTACCTACATGTTTGGTGACTTGAGAAGCTGCCTACCGACATGTTTGATGACTAGACAAGCTATCGACC